ACCGCCATGAGTTCACATTTCTACATCCCCTGGCTCTCCAGCACAGCCAGTGGTATGTGAACAATGTGAAATGTATGCCCACAGTAACCCAATCAAGGGCCCACGGCAACCCCTGGGGCACAAAGCATTGGGGCAGCCGCATTCGAAAATGTGGTTGTGGGTTTTATTGAGCTTTCCCCAGTTTGTGGCTACATATACTTGCTAGTGTTGGTGTATACTTTCTCAGGGAAGGTAGAGGCATTCCCCTCCCATAGGGAAAAGGCATCTGAAGTGGCCCGGATCCTTCAGAGAGAAATCACTCCCCATTTTAGAATTCCTGTTACCACAGGATTAGACCATGGCCCAGCATTAGTTGCAGAGGTTGTGGAGCCAGTGGTCAAAGGACTAAAGATTACTTGGAAACTGCATGTGGTATGCGGTCCCCAGAGTTCAGGGAGGTGGAGCAAAGGAACCAGACTTTAAGGCTACAGCTCAGTAGGCTGTGTCAGAAAGCTCACCTGCACTGGGAACAACTCTTACCAATAGCTCTGCTAAGAATCAAAGCTAGTTCCACTACACAGACAAGGGTTTCCCCTTTTAAAATTCCCTATGGGGGCTGGGTGTTTAGCTCAGTGGTTCCTCTGCCTGACTTGCAAGTGCAAGGTCCTGAGTTTGATCCCCGGTACCGAAAAAGAAAGAAAGACAGACAGACAGACAGCCTCTATGGGTGACCCCTCCTTTTATTAAGGAGATACGAGGGGTTTTAAAGGCACTTGGGAACCACATTCTGAGACAACAGATGCAGGTGCTATGCTTGGCCTTAGCCACCCTACACCAATGGGTTAAGGAATGATTGCCCGTAAGTTTGACTACAGATCCTCACTCTTTCAAAACAGGGGATCCTGCATGGGCAAAAGAATGAAATGTCCAGTCCCTGAAAACCCTCTGGAGGGGCCCATTCCCTGTTATCCTATCCACCCCGACTACAGTAAAGGTAGATAAGATAGTCCCCTAGATTCACCACAGCAGAGTAAAGCCAGCATCTCGAGACTGGGAGTGCATGCCTAACTCGTCAGGACCATGTAAGTTGATGATCCAGAAGTACACCCAACCTCAGGAACACCACTGAGAGACGACAGCCCTGCTCTAGTCACTCCAGAGGCTGACTAGTCTACACAAGGCAGAACTCTGAGGACACTGCCGACTGGCAACACAGACCAACTACATCCCTTTTGTAACCATCTGTAATATACTGCCACCCATTACTCATAACTGTATTTGGGTCTCTGGCCCTGCTTTTTGCCACAGTCCTTGCCAAGACTGCCTCAGCCAACTGGAAATGTGGCAAGAGGTGCTTGCTGGTCCTCACCTTCCTCTTGTGGGAAGGACGTTTTGCTGGCATTGGCTGATTTTACTATGCAAAGTATCTGCACACATAAGACAACCTATTCTATTTGCCAACGTGAAATCAGCATACCTCTTTCAATCCAAAATACTCCCCAACTGAGGAACGGTTTGAAGTCCAACACTCCCAAGGTAAAGGAATGTTAATTAACAAAACCTGGGTTATAAATCCCCATTAGCTAGTATTAGTATTTTTTTATGTGTGTGCCACCATTAGTAAAAATCCCTGGATAGTGCTAAAATGTGGAGGATTATCATGGGAATAAGAATACAGGCTCAGTTGCAAGTATGCCTGTGAACAGGCCCTGCCCCAATCTGCCTGTTACAGTGACCACTGGGCCGATGGCCCCTAATGGAGCTGTTCTCATGGGCCCCTTGGAAAGGTAAAGGTAAGGTAGCACTCCTCCAAAGGAGGGCTGCCACTCTCAGCTATGAATTGGGAACCTGTAACCTCACTAATTTTACTATCTTTAATCCAGGAGACCCAAAGTGAGATTGCTCCAACTATATGGGGACAGGGGGGTCCCATAGAAAACAATGTACCCTGCAAACTGGCAACTGGAAAGACAACAATGGCCTCCTCCACACTTAATTCAGTATTATAGTCCTGCCAGCTGGGAATAGGATGGGTCCTGGAGCTATCGCACTCCCATTTATACGCTAAACTACATAATTAGACTACAAGCAACTGTAGAAATAACTAATGAAATTGCCAAAGCTCTTGTTAGCCAAACAACAGACCAAAATGAGCATTGCTATCAAAATTGCTTGGCCTCAGATTACGTACTTGCTTCTGAAGGAGGGATTTATGGGAAATTTAATCTAAGGAACTGCTGCCTATAAATAGATAAGGGAAAGGTCATAGAGGAGATTGCAGATCGAATGAGGAAAACTGCTCATGTTCCAACCCACACCTGGAAAAGGTGGGATCCCGGAGAACTGTTTGGGAGGCAGTTTTCAACTCTTGGGGGATTCAAAACCCTGACAAGGTATCACACTCCTGATTTGGGGAATCTGTTTGATCCTGCCTTGCCTGGCTGCCTCGGTTACATGTTCTGGCTCCAACTTCAATGAAATGGCGGTTCAAAGAAAAAGGGCTGCACACACAATGATGTTATGGAAATATAACCCCTGAACCAGTATGTTGTTCTCTGTCCCAAAATAGAATGGGATCCGAGCACCAAAGGGGAGAACGTGGTATGGCCCCCGTGTCAGGGTGGGAACTTTTTAGAGTGTAGTGATATCAACGCTGTGTATGCAGGTGTAGTTCTGATGTAATTCTGTAACATAAATCATACTCAACCAGACTGTTGAATGTTTATGTATACCCAACCAGACTGTAAAATGTTAGTGTATGCCCATATAAGGGAGACAAAGACAAAATTGTATAAAGCTGTATATATACAGCCATGCCATGTTCAGCACTCAGCCTGTGGATACAAATAAAGCTGTTTCCTGGGAAAAGGGCCTTGGTATCCCACCTCAGCAAGAAAATCTTAGAGCAAAAGTTCTTAGCAAAGCAGTAGGTTAATCTTCAAACTCATTTATGGGCTATCTCTGTACACAACCTATACTCCAACCATACTTCACTATCTGCTGTTTCCTTAAACAAGTGTCCCGTCCCATCCCATCCCATTCCGTCCCCTGTGCCGGGAATCGAACTCAGGTCCTTGTGCTTCTCAGGCAGGCAGCGGAACCACTGAGCTAAATCCCTGGCCCTTAAACAAGTCTTATACTTCTGTTTGTTAATGCTTTTCTACTTCTACTCAGCATCTAGCCAATATACCTTAAACAAAGTAGTTTAAATAACTATTTGTGGAAGAATTCACATTAGGACTGGAGTATAGCTTAGCTGCTTTATAGAAGTAAAACCTTTTTACGGGAAAGAGGATCAAAAATGATCAAGATCTAACTTATATATGCACTGATTATCCAAAATAAATGTAAACATTATGGAGCACAAACATAAACCAATAAAAGTCTTTTTTAGGATATGGAAACCAACTCCCATACAAACTACATTAACTTGTTCAAAATCACAAGACTAGAGGTCACAAAGCAATATCTGTTCCGTTACATACTTACTGATACTGTTTAGCAGCTCACAAAGGAATAACAGATTATAACATAAAATTAGGGGATCTAGTCATCCTATTCCCATCTCCCATTAATATAAATAATCAACAACTGCACAAACTGAAAAGTTACCATGTAATTCAAATAACTTTTTAATTGCTTGGCCTATAAAGGAATGTACCCTATATGCTGATTAAATACATTTTAGCGAAGCGATTTAAATGGTCCAATCTGATTCATGTGACACAGATAAGGAGAACACTATTAAGGTGTATATAATTTTTTTTTTTTTTTGGCACTGGGAATCGAAATCTGGTCCTTGCACTTTCATGGCAAGTGGAACCACTGAGCTAAATCCCCAGCCCATACATAGTATTTTTAAAAATGATAGAAGTTCTGCAACAAATCTTTTTTTTTAAAGGTATAGAAACAAGAATCCGCTGGCATTTAAGCACTTTCCAAGGCAGTAAGACCCTGAGCTTATAGATTTAAGAATTAAAGTCAGTAGGCAAATATATTCATTTAAGGGCCATAGTTGGCTTTTCAGGCTTTCCACATCTCTCAAGACTATCTGATTACATTTGGCTATCAAGCAACCATTCAATGACTTCATTGGCACTAGTATCACCACTTTTGATCCTACAACCTGACCTTGAAACATCAGAAGATTAATTAATTCTCCCCATATTATAAATTAATAAGCTGACATTCTAAATTATACAAAAGTGCTTGGTTGCTTGGTTAGCAGGAAAGAACCTAAGAATCTGCTCACTTCTAAAGATAGTATATTAAAAAAAAGGTTAAGAACCTGAAAAATATAAACACTGGGGGCTATCACTCAAGAGGCAGGAGGAAGATCACTGCAAGTTTGAGGCCAGCCTGACCTGCACAAGACCTTGTCACCAAAAAGAAAAAGGAGAGGGACCACAAGCTGGATTCGGGCCAAAAATGGGATTTTATTTGGCTTGCACAATGATGATGGTGATGGAGAGGAGGAGGAGAAAGACAGAAGAGAAAAAGGAAAAAGAGAAGAACAACAAATACCCTTTTAAAAATCTGAAAATTTCAAGCCGGGCATGATGGCACACGCCTATAATCCCAGCACTTGGGAGGCTGAGGCAGGAGGATCGCTGTGAGTTTGAGACCAGCCTGGGCTACATAGTGAGTTCCAGGTCAGTCTCAACTACATAGTGAGACTGTATCTCAAAAAACAAAACAAACAAAAAGAATCTGGAATTTTCACATAAAAATGTGCATTTCCAGCTTTTCTTGAAAAATATGAAATTCTGGCAATACTGGACCTGACTTGCCACATGGCAAAAACTGACCAAAGTTAATCAATCATAGCCCCACTTATATGGGACACTTGGTACTAAAGTCACATGTGAATTGTCACTTATCACTATTCATGCTCTGTTTACCTATAAACTTCGAAGAATGAAGAATGCCATACTTGGTGGATAAGTGCAGACTTTTAAAAGTACAATCCACTCTTTATATTAATGCAGTAAAACGAAGCTAGAGGCAAAGGAATCAATTACCTTAATCTGAGTCTGTTCGATTGACTTTTCCCATATCTGCTGATCATATGCTCCAATCTGAAATAAGGAGCAAGCTATTTAAATGATGCAAAGGCAATACTTATATTTTTAAGTCAAGCTTCACATGGAAGTCATTAATCTATTAAGTATTAATATATCTGGAAAATGTTTCAGCTTCTCCGTTAGAATAAATATTTCCAAAAACAAAATCCTTCAAAAATCTAAAATAGCTGGATTTAAGTGAAAAAGCAACACCCAAAATAATTCAAATCAAATATTACCTTAAAAGATATTTCCACTTCTTAAAGAAAATATTAACAGGAATACTAGAGAAGAATAAAAAGTAAGGGACAGCTCAATAAGAGAACAGTGTACCAATCTGAGCATGCAGATAAAGGCGCCATTTGCATCTAAAAGTTTGATCAGAAGTAGAATTTCAAAGCATTGCCATGGCTTGTGTATGCAGCCTGGGGAAGGGAGAGAACTGGAGAATCTTATCCTAGGACCTGGGACTGGGTTTATAATGACCTTGTACATCCATTTTCCCATTTATGCTGAGATACCACATAATACCTGCCATTAACAAACTCAGGGAAAAGTAACGTGATATTCTTTGTGGGAACTTTCTGAAGAAGTATGCTTTGCAAATAAAAATTACGGATATTACCTTCTTTTGATACCACGATATAGCATCTCTCTCATTTGAGGCCATCTGGGTCTCCAGCCAGAGAGTGGGATTTCACTGAAAATGAAGGAAAACCAGTCCGTGAGTCCAGTCGCTGAAGGTTACAGTCTGGGGAGGACTGGCTGCTGGGGACGGGCGCGGGGGTGGCAAACGGTCGCCGCTGAGCTGGGGAAGCTTCTGCAAGACTTTGTGAGCGCGGGTTCGCGCATGCAGGCAAGGAGAGAGGTACCGGAGTACACTCGCCCGCCCCCGTGCTCCCCGGCGTCCGACTCACCTGGTGCCCGCTGCCAGGCAGGCCGACGGCCGGGTCCTTGCTCCTCAGTGGCCCC